AATTTACCACCTCCAATGCAAAACTGGATAAGTATGGAACGTTTTTTGCAACTGAATATCTGAAAAGTCGAATAGTTTCTATTTTATTCATTTTCAGAAGTAACGAGTTGAATGAATAGTTGAATAATTGAATAGGTGAATAAGTGACTAGTTCAATAATTGAAATAATTTTTCAACTATTAATAGTTGAATTCACCTTTTGACTCCTGCTCGTATGTACCAGTTGGGATTAGTGTGAGAAACGAGGCACTATGTCTTCATAGACACGGCAAGGGAGTGGCAATAGCTTCTTGTTGACACGCCCAGGGAGTGGTAATAGCCCGATCACAGTGCACAATTTTTGATCGAATTCTTATGCAGTGCCCTAAACGATGCATATAGCCGACTCCCATGGAATCTGAATCAGATTTGAATTCTCGTTCTAACGACATTGTCCGTTTTTTATTTTGTTGTTAAGCGAGGGCCAGAAAGTTATATGTGAGATCAAACAAACGATCAATGAGTCTGAAACATTTTCAGCACAGACGGTTTACATAACCAGACTGTATCATTGGTCGCAGTGTGTAAAGCTATATGGTCCCTTCTCAGTATGTTTTTTGCACATCTACACCACACATTCTAGATGGTCATTGAGAATCGCTGGGCGTTCATCTTCAGTGTGTCATTTTTTTCTTTTTACAGTTTGTATCGGCTTGTTTTTCGCTTAGCTTAGCGAGTAAGTGGATACTAACAACGTTTAATTTTTACATTTCATTATATAGTTGTTTGTTTAACGATTGAATCCATGACTCGATTGATTTTATCCCGTGTCTTTCGTGTTCTCGCAAAAGCGACACCCTCTGTCATAGATCAAGTCTCATGGAGAAGACAATGCAACAGCTTTAGTTGTGTCAGTCATCCAAGCTTTTGATCTCAGTATTTGGTCTGTATTTACTTACAATTAAAATTGAGTACACACTTGAAAAGATAAATGTAGACTGGAAAATAAAATTCAGTTCACTAGTTTCGTTATTTAGGGAAAGCAAAAAGTTTATTCCGTAGTATTTGGCATTCCTACCATTGTGACCATTGATGGAATGATATTGTTCCTGTGAGAAAGAGATAGAATTAATAATGAAAAGCTTAAAATAAGTGCAGAGAAACTTACTTTAGCTTCTCTCTAACATCATCGATGCTTTTTTCTATTTGCTTTACTCGTTTCTGTGTTGCCGGAAGATTCGCCTTCAGATATATTCGCTTCCCTTCCTCATAACTAGCTAAAGCTAGATCAAGTTTACCTGTTAATACATAAACGTCACCAATATTGTGATGGCTAATGGCTATAAAATGATGATCTTCTCTTAGCGTTTTCTTTTTCATGACCAAAGATAGATCATACTGACAATGTTGAAATTATGTCCATTCTTATAAAGCAGGTCAGGTACAAAAAAGACTTGTACATATCATTTTCGAATATTTCTATAATAGAGTAGAGCTCGATCGTAATCTTCTTGATGACAATACACTTCACCTATACATCCATATGTCTTTGCAATATTTTCATGATTTTCTGGAAGAAATCGTTTTTGCATTTCTAACGCTTTGTTGAAATGAATTAACGCATCGTCAGAATTCTTTTGTTTTTCGTGCACACGCGCAATGTGATAGTAGGCTGCAGCTATGTCTGGATAGTCTTGACCAATATTTTTTGAGTAAAGATTAATTTACATATTACACACTTCGATAATTTGGAAAAAATGCAGTAAACATCCAATGCCATGTAATTGTTGAACAGTGTTAACATATCAACTGCATTATTAAAATGCTTCAAAGCATTTACATAGTCCTCTTTTCCCTCATAAGCAACGGCCAGTGACTGATAATTTGCTGCTGTATTTTTATAATTATTTGGCAATAATAAATTCAATCTGAGCGACTCTTCATTGTGTTTAATTGCAATGTCATACAGACCTTGTCGTTTAGCAATCACTCCAAGTCCTTGATAACATGATGCGCGTGACGAATATTCATTGTGTTCTAGAGTCATCAGCAATCGATTATAATATTTTTCACTTCTCTCATAATCGCTAATTTGAAACAACAGACTACCAAATGACGCTAAATCTGTTTTTTCGCCAATTTTTGACTTTAAATGTTCAAATAATTCTTTGAATTTATGATTTTGTTCACTGCATAAATTCAAGACAATTATTACTTGTCCATTATCATCTCGCACGTCAATTATTTGAAATATTGAACCGAGAAAGAATAATACTTCTCTCTCATTTTTGAAATAACTTTTTTTCGAAATGTCAGCATACGGTTTCGTGTTTATAGTTGGATCAATATTTATTTCGAACAGAACACGTCGTAACTGATCTGTGCTCGCCGTTGATGATACAAAGCTGAGAGCAGATTGTTGGTTGAAACTTGTCGACAAAAAGCTATTCATAGACACATATTGATTAAGTGACGAACGAATTTTATCTAGTTCGTCATTTGATATTAGTTGACAACGATACACCTGAGTGATCGGTGATTGACTTTGTTCTTTGTGCATTTCGGTCAAATTCGTATGTAGATCTTTGATGAAAAAACGAAAAGCAAATAGCATATCGATATCTTTAATGCGTAGCGCTTGATTTAGCATTCGATAGAAAGAGATCGTTCATGTATTTTAATACTTTTCTGATAAAACTACACTTGTTCCTACTCGTCTACTTCCACCAGATGTCTGTCACTCAGAAAGAATTATGTAATAAGTGATAGTTGCTAAACACGATTGTCTTGTGTACCATCGAAGTGCTGTGTTTGATGAATAGAATTTTCGAAACTCATCAATATTTTGTAGCTGATCTTGATCATCCGCATGAGTTTTCTCACATATTTGTAGAAGTTCCTCTTGCTCATTTTCTTTTTGATCCATCCGAAGTAATACTTCAATCAATAACTGCAACCACATAAAATTACCATTTTCTGAATCAACATTAGTATGAGTTTTTTCATTGAATATAGCTATTGGCATTGTTGATACTTCAATTTGTTCGCGTACGACTTGATCATCTCTGATACGTTCAATCAATTCCGAAGATGTTGTTACAACGGCTTTAATCTAAGTACATGTTCCGAAGTTCAAACTCTTTAACTATGATGAGATTATTCGATAAAATCAGAGAAACAAACCTTAACGAGCGAGCGAAGGTCCCGAGCTGATACCCTTCGATGTCCATGATCTTTTTCCAATAGATACTGCATGATGTCCTAGTCTCAACCTCCAAAGGATTTGGTTGTATAGTTCTTCTTTCAAAATTTATAAATTTTTTAAGATTGGCCGCTGGAGATCCTAATTCATCATTGTTTACTTTTCAAAACTTCTCCACATGTGTCCTGACCAGCCAAAATGTTTTTAAACACCTATCCATATAGAGAAAAGTGTTTTCATCAAAACGAGACGTTGCTGAGCTCGGTGCGATATCCCCATCAAAAGCCATACGCATTTTGCTAAGAACACCTAAAACTCTGCTTTTCTTTCAGTCCTCCAGATCGATTTTTGCCTTGTAGCATTGCGTAATTCCAAGATTTCTCCGCTATTTTAAGTGCTACAAATCTCAGGTTGGTCTTGGAATATAACCAACACTTTTTTTCTACGGTATAACAGAACCAGATTTTCGATCTTCGTTTTTGTCTCTGAAGAAGGATAAATTATTATAGTTAAGAAGAATTATACAACCAAATCCTGTGGAGGTTGAGACTAGGACATCATATAGTATCTATTGGCAAAAGATCATCGACATCGGAGGGTATCAGCTAGGGACCTTCCCTCGTGAATCTATGCGATAAACGGAGAGCTCAAGTGATACACTTATAAAAAATACTTATAAGCGATATATCATTACAAATTTGCTATTTCTAACAAATCTAAATGTACCTAAATAGATGTAGCCTAATTAATTGGTGTTTACCTTTTCATATTTTTGCGCCCATTGTTCATGTTTTATTTTATCCATGCAATAAACATATATTGCTTTAACTGACTGTAAAGCATGAACGTATTCAATAATTTGTAGCCCATACGTACCAGATACAATTAAAACGAGTTTATTTTCTTTACTTTTATCGTGTTTATTAATATAAGTTTGACACTGATCAAAATCTTCAAATATTATCAGAAAACTAATTATTGCTCGTAATTTCTTTTGCATGTCATTATTATCTCGTTCTTTCTTGACATTTGTATCTAACCATACCAATGTAAATGTTTCACAGTTTTTAGACATATCTTGTAAATTCAATTTAAAGTACGGTGTTTCGGCTCTAGTATATTCTACGGTACTGATGTTTCGGTAACAAAACTTGGTGTGTCTCGAATAACAGGTTCCCATAAGCCTTTTTCGATAAAAAGTGAAGATGGAAAAGTAACAGAACCAAAGAGACTTTTCTTCGTCTGTGTAATAAATTTTATTATTTAGGTTCCTACTTGGTTCGCATCAAAGTGGCGATATAAAACGCGTTCTCACATACGACAGGGAAGTGTAAAGGTAAGTTATTTTTCTGCACCATTTATATAAAACTTGCACCATTCTGTTCTTTTATTAGTTTTTCGTATGACAAGGTTTCTCTCTGAAGGTGACGAATTCTGTGCACAGAAAATTCCAAGTTAAATAAGGAAGTACAAAAAATGTTCAGTTTATACTATGCTGATGACACATTTGTCATTGTACATATCATAAACTATTTTGATCAAAATAGTAATACTTTTTAAAACAAGTTGCCACATCACTTTTATGATGTTAAAAAGGAAGTGAACAAAGTTAAATTAAGAAGAAAAAGAAAAGTTTCGTGGCGTAGACTATTCTGTCTGCAAATACTATTAACAATGGCAAGTTCAAAAACAAATTGGAGATATTTAGATGACATACGTGATGAACCAAAGCAAGTGTTGAAACCAATCACAGGCTACGCAAAACTTCCACTGATGACGCTGGACGAAGCTGTGAAGCCACTCTTGCATATCGTCAATGAATTACCACAAAATGTTTGGGTCGCTAAAGAAAATTGTAAAAAATGTATTAACGAACTCACTCAAGACGAAGCGGCAGCAATACATTTATACACAATGGAATGGGATCAGCGAAGTGAGAGTCTGTACGCAATCCTTAATCGCACCTTACGCGAAATCGACAGACAAAAGCTGATACCGTGGTTCTCATATTTAAAATTACTCCTCACTGCTCTACACAAATTGCCATCTGAGAAAGCAATCGTTTGGCGTGGTGTGAAAGCAGACTTAAGAGCAGATTATGACCCGGGTAAAAAACAAGTTTGGTGGGCACTCAGCTCATGTACCACCAAAATGAACGTACTTGAATCTTCCGAATATCTGGGTACCTCTGGCAACCGGACAATGTTTTCGATTGAATGTAGCAATGGTAAAATGATCAAACAATATTCTTATTTCGAAAAAGAAGACGAAATTCTTCTAATGCCTGGCTCTTATTTTCATATTGTCGATCAATTATGTCCTGCTAAAGAACTAAATATTATTCATCTAAAAGAAGAAACACCGCCATATCCGTTACTAGAGCTACCTTTTAATAAAACAGCTTCCGATAATGGGAATTCAAGTCTTGTTCAAAGTTTGAGATCATTAGAAATAGATGACATCAGTATTCGAGGGATTTCGGATCTTTCTAGCACACCATTTAATAAAAATACACACGGAATTTGGCTTGATTCTAATATCAATAATACACCTAACAATTTACTAACACAGCATAAATTACGAAGCGTCTTTAATATTTTACAAACATTCGAAGTGCAAAATGAATGTGAAGATTGCATAGAAAACTCAAAAATGAAAATATTGTTTTCTTTGTTGGCGGTTACCTTGGCTCAAATATTGTACCACGTATACACGATTTGGATCAAGTAAAATCAATATATGTGTATTGCATGGATAGAGAGACAAATGAAAAATGGGCAAAAAAGTTTTATAAGGTAAAAATTCACACTAGATAGCATTTGTCTAATTCAGTAATTCATAGTAATTGAACATTTTACTGCGCTCTTTTTTCAGGTAAAAGACATTGTAACCCAACTAAATGAACTTATGACAAGTTTGCAAAAAAATATGATCTAAGTAAGTGCTCGATATATTTTATTGTTAGGCGAATTCAGATTACATTCTAGAAATTCATTATTCCGGAAGTACAATCATTTTATAATTAATTTACTATACTTAACTTTCTATCCATAATTCCAATTTTAAATTACTTTGCAATAAATTCAACTTGTTCTGTACATAAGAATTGAAATCTGTTGTGTCACGAAGCTCAGAATTTTTCGCCTAATCACTCTAAGATGAGTGATACTATTTTATTTATACGTTGTTTAATTGCTAAGTAATTTATAAATATTTGCGAGATATTCAGAATAAAAAGAGCGTAAGATTGATGGAAAATGCAATCAACTGCACTACTTACAATAAATGTAAATGCTCACTTAATCATTTGTACTACACTTTTATCAACAGCATGTGTGTGGAAAAACGGTAAGATATCAAGCATTCTTTAAAAATTCATTTATACTGAATCGTGCATTTTTCAAAGTAGCATTATCGAAGAAAAGGTACTTTATGTAGTTAATACCGCATTATGTATATTATTAGTGTTTACAGATGTGTTTTCTTGACCATGAGTTGAAGACCACAGTTATCAATCACACCGATCATGAAAAAGTAAATATTTTCTCTTGCTGTAATAAAGATGAACACGATAATGCTTATATTCTTTTTTTCTTCTTAATTTAACTTTGTTCACTTCCTTTTTAACATCATAAAAGTGATGTGGCAACTTGTTTTAAAAAGTATTACTATTTTGATCAAAATAGTTTATGATATGTACAATGACAAATGTGTCATCAGCATAGTATAAACTGAACATTTTTTGTAATTCCTTATTTAACTTGGAATTTTCTGTGCACGGAATTCGTCACCTTCAGAGAGAAACCTTGTCATACGAAAAACAAACAAAAGAACAGAATGGTGCAAGTTTTATATAAATGGTGCAGAAAAATAACTTGCCTTTACACTTCTCTGTCGTATGTGAGAACAAGTTTTATATCGCCTCTTTGATAGAAATGAACTAGGAATTTTCTAAAATAAAAGTTTCATCCCCGAAGGGCTAAGTGTTTTCCGAATAGAAACTCTAATTTTGACTTAGCGGCTTCAGCCGAAACGTATTGGAATAGGTAATAATCACGGTAAGAACTCAATCGACTTACCGCTGATATTTCTAGAGGGCCATCAGCGGGTTTGGGATTATCATTTTCTATTAACTTAGAACGGACTTGTGACCACTATATTCCAGACTGATTGAACTACTTCCTATATTCATACTGATCCAAAAACTGTTCTTGGGACAGACACATTCCTGCACTTACGAGGGAACGTTCCCAAGTGTTCAATCGCTTTTTAATCGAAATCTAGTGGATTATAGGTTATCGATCATGCTGATTCCAAATATGAACATGGGAGTTCCCCTTAGCCCTTCGAAGAACCGGTCTTCTGGAAAACCAGTTTTTCAGAAACTCCAAAAAATGAGAAAAACTTTTTATAATCAGACAGGATTGTAGCGCGCAAATTTATGATTAAAATGA